CCGAACAACCCCTACCACTCGAATCTTCCTAAGTCCATTCCATTAACTCCCGTTTTCGAGAGCCTCGTTTCGATCTTCGAACTTGGAGGATTTCGAACAGTTGATGAAGTTGGTTCCGTGTTATCCTGAACCAAGAGAGGCCTCTCGAGACTAGTTACTACGCTAAATCCTGTTAATAGACGGTATTAATATGTCATTGTGTAATACGTGAATCGAATGTAGCATCCGTCATTGTGTATGTGTAGTCTTTGAGTTTTGTCCGACGATTATACAGACAATCTAGTACGCTGAAAATAGTCCATGTATTGTGATAAATAATATATTATGAGTTTAGTCTAAACTTCAAACGGAGGTTTGTAAATAAAAATTGAAGATCGACAACGAACGAAGCTTCTTATCGGATACACAATGGTTTCGTCAGATTTTTTTTCTTTTTTTTTTTTGATCTTCAGAATATTAAAATTTTTCAGCTATATGTATTTGTTCGTGTAACTTCGAACAATTGAAAGAAAGCTGACGCGACACGGAATGGCGAAGAACGTCGCGATAGATCGTTGGAGAAAATCGAGGAAGGAAAGATGAAGCCGAGCAGAAGGAAAATATGTTCGCCCCGCGATAAGGAAATTATTATATTATATGGCTGGAAACATATCATCGTTGACTATTTCATTCGATGAATGGGACTTTGGGAATGCATCGAGGATGATAACGTGCTTCGTATTTCAAGCGTAATGCGTTCATTGAAGCCAATGTAACCGGGGATAAATAAAACTCATTTGTATATTCATAATATTCTCGAATGCAAAATGAACAAAGCTGACTTTTTAATTGAAATATTTCTCTTACGTACGAGTAAAAATTACCTTTATTTTACAATATATGATTTCCAGAATCAACAACCAGGAAAATATAGAAATAATCCACGCTCGAAACAAATCAGGCAAGACATTAGAAGTATCTAATCTGATAACCTCGTGAACCTATCATGATTCATTTCGACGACCAAATTGATTTGATTCGTGAATTATTTTCTAGCATCCATCTTACGAAACTCTGGCCCAACAAAACTTTACGAAAATCATTAGAAATGATCTATCGTGTGATTGTATGCTCTCTAACAACCAAGAAAAAATCGTCTTGCATATCGAAAGGCCGAAGTAAAAATATGTACTGTATAAAAAAAAGAAAAAGAGAGAGAGAGAGAAAATACCATAAACGTCCACGAGACGAATCGATACATGCAATTCGTGTCAGCCAGCGATAAATCAAAGGCGTTTATCCGCGAGGAGACACTCGTCCCGTCATCGATCACTCGTGACAAAAAAACCATCACGTCTCGCGCTATTCACGGCAACTCGGTCGTGCCGGAAGAGGAGATCAATAATGTGTTTCAATTTGTCACGCCGGTCCAGGGATGTTCCTCGTGTCTCATCAACAGCAGAGATGTTCTCTTTACGGTCAAGTTATTCAAGTTAGGTGCCGGTTACACCTCGCCACGGAGACGCACTCGCGACGCACCCGCGAACACAATTCAGCACCCGATCGAACTTCCGGATCACCGGCCGCATCCGGCCTGCAATCCACGAGTCACGAAGTCACGATCAGACTGCTTTGTCCACGTGTTTCTTATATTATTCGCGCGATAACGTAGGTTTCTGTATTATCAGACAGTCGACGAAAGCACCATCGAACGAACATTCGTAGAAACTGATACACCTGCCCGTGCCATCTATCGTGGGGTAATGAAATTCACTTTGGGGATGAAAGTAGATTGGTTATCTTCGGAAAGGATTAAATCTATATTCACAGGGTATAAGTAAAATTGGAGATTTTTGTGTAAGAGTTTGATGAATTTTAAATGTTTCGCAAAGTGGTTAAAAATTTTAGATTACTCACTTTCGGCAAAAAGACGAAGTATATGAACCTCGTCGTTTGCAATAGATTAAATTTATGTTTTGAATAGATATGAATAGATATCTTTTTGATACACTGACCACGAAACTTGGAAATCTCGGCTCTAGTGCAGTGAACAAAGTAACAATAGCAACAACGAACGAAAGAAGAGAGGAGACAAGGGATTCCTAATTTTGTCCCAAGTTCAATGTGGTATGGCTGCGAATTATTGTACAACTATATTGTGTAACACTTACCTAACTTGTGATATTTCTCAAATATTCCCAAATACGTAACAAAGTATGTTCTCGCGTTAGACTCATTTCTTGCTCTGTCGAGTCGATCGCACACCCTAAGGCTCGTATCAATGATAAACTATTTGTCTTGTACAGTCGCGTACGAGCCAGGATCTCGGCTTGGTTATCAGCTCCATTATGGACGAATAGCCTATTAATGAGCTTGAGATTTTTGGGAGCACGAAAGTACGTATTTTTGAGCGACGGTGAGTCTGTTCGTTCCGGATAGATATTAGTGTCGCGCAAGTAAAGTTGTATAATTAACCCCTTGACATACAATGACGTCTGGGAGACATCATGCGTTTCCTAAGGACTATTGAATCATTAATTTGTTCTTTCGTCATTCTTTTTTTTTTATTAATTTTATTTGTTTACAAGCATTGTGTTTACGACATTTTGCGGCAATATATAAATATAATGAAGAGTAGAAAAATTATCTCTGTTAAGTTTACAACACAAATGTTAAAATGAAAGATAAGTATCATCTTTTGGTCATATCGAATTTCACTTAATTCGTGTGTCAAGGGGCTAAACATACCGAAACGCATCCCTTTGAAAGTAGTTTCTTCAATTGTTACAAGGCAAGTGAATGATTTGCATTCGTATGTACTGTATGTGTTGCATGTATTGTACGATTCTATGTATTGTATATATTGTGTGATTGTGTGAGAGATTGTGTGTAACCCCGGGCCAAGTATAATTACTCGTATGTAATGGCCCGGGGTGAGTCTCGTGCGTAGTCACCTCCTCGTGGTGGTGAGACGAAGAGAATTAAACATTATACTTCAATATTTCATTGCAATATAATTTTTTTCTTTTCACTTCAGATTATTCGAAGGAAACATCAAAGTACGTGCAATGGCACGAGCAATTGTACTGATATTAAGGCACGACGATTGAAACCTTTTTATCGATTAAAAACTAGCCGGTAAAGATAGTGCAGAGTAGCACGTTTGCCGACGCTTGCCTATCGATTTCAATTTCGCTTGCCCGGTACTCTAGCAGATGGCGAACCTTCGAACTCCTTTCTGAGCATGCGTCGGCATATGTATGCGCGAATATTTAATTCAATAAACGTCTAAGCTGCTGCTCCGCCGTTTTACGCAACATTTACAATTCAATAAGCAGACATTTGCCATGCAACGGAGAAACTATTAAATATTACCTTGTTCACGGCTTCGTGGCTAGTTAGGATGTGCTGGCTACCGTCGGGATGTAGGATACGATCGACCGAATTCGGTCTAGGAACTCCGTCCAGTTGGCCTGCCTCCTTCAGCTGGGGCGGCGACGGCGGCGGTGGCAGTTGCTCGTCCACTCCTCCACCAGCGTAACGGGTCTTCTGTAATCCGAGAATTTTATCGTTTATCAATTTCATCCTTCCCCCTGATCGATCGTTCGTACTTGTCAGGGTGCGTATATGTTTGTTATTTAATCTTGTCTAATGCTGGTACACGCGTACGAGGGTGAACTATCCGCGATGCTGTTTTGTCATATTGGCCGTAGAACTAAATACTTGTGCGTTGATCTTCATATATTACGATCGAATAGGTTTCAATTTTGTTTCTCTTTATTACAGTAAAAAACAGTAATTGGATCTACTATTTTGTATCCATAGTCGTACATCAACTCGATTTTAATACGTATTTTTCAATTCCTTGATACTCATCGAAACAGCCACCGAGCATAGAATTACATTAAATTTTTTTCTCGCGATATTTGCCACAACACCGGACAAGATGCTGCGTGACAAACGTGCACGCGCCCCGACATTTTTCTTTTAGAAACAAACACCACCATTTTCCGTTTATTAGCCATTTCTAAATACTGACGTGCAGGCTATGGAATATCGCGCGAACGAATTTACTGTTACGCAGCCTGGGCGACCTCGATTTACGTTCAACGTACGATTGTTCCGTGTCTGGTTGTCGCTGTTGCTGTTGCGAGATTTTCATCGGGCAGATGCCGCTTGGCCTGACTTTCGGAACGTTTAAGAAGATCATTTCGAAAACCGGTGCGAAAGAAGAGGAGAGATGAAGGGGTTCAGCACGTTGAACGGTGAGCACGGTTTCAACTGAGGTTGCTCGTAACCAGGTTTCGATATCGATGACGCTTCTACTGAGCTAATCTCCCGGAATCCCGGATTTCTTTTCATTATCGCGGCCGTGCGGGGCTTCTGGATACGATGGCCTGTCGAGTGGCCGACCGCGCCATCAATGATCGAACGTTTATTGAAACCTTTTCGTTTGAAGTAGCTCACACCTTGCCATCTATGCGAATAAACGTCGACGTAAGTTACCGTCCGTCCGATTCGATTTCGCCACGAAGCCATGCTAACTGCGTCTGTGTTAGGTTCAGAAGAGAATACGACGGTAGTGAACGTCGGAATTTGAAGTCCGAATGGATGGGATAAAACTAATTTCATGAGATTGTATAATGTTTTTTAACATTAAATACTCGTGGAAACTTTATTTTTCTCTGCATTTATCTTTTTTAATGTTGTCGCTAATTTTTATTTCATGATATTTCTTTCTTTGCAATATTTTTCTCATTATATTAAATTTTCCTTTTTTTTTTTTTTATTTTCTCCTTAGAAGAATGCTCTTTTCATTAGCCTTCAGCTATTACTTTATCATCTTTTCCCAGTTCCAGCGTCTGTCTTTGATTCGTACAGTTTCTTCCTCGCTTTTCGAAAAAAACTACTAATCAATATATAAATATATATGTTGCACATAACAAAATGTACAGAAAACACAACGAAAAGTGAACGAAACTTGGCAGAAGTACAGAATTAGTAAGCTGAATTAAATACGAAGAACAGGATACTAAGATAATAGCAAATTAGTCTAGTTACAACAAATAACGGAGTTAGACTAGCTTGGTAATTCAAGCACGCTAGTCTTGGAAGATAAAAGGCAACCGAAGAAAAAGTCCAAAGTCCAATGGTTGGTTAAGTGAATTTACTCGTGCACAAATTCTACTAATCGAATCGAAAGGAAAGAGAATCTAGGATGTGTACGACGTGGTCCTAAACAATGGAGAATGTCTAAGATGAAAAGAAAGTACGATGAAAGAAGCTGATTAGATTCAAAAGTCCCAGGTCGTCAAGACAAGAAAGTTCGTTACTAGTATTTTTGTCCGACGCTCTCATTGTCTCTTTATTGCTGAAATCCCCCGATTGCCAGACACAGTTGCCGTCGCATTTCCCTCGACGCTAGAATTTTTCCTAAAATCCTCGAAAAGGGAAGGGCATTCGCAGAAACATCAACGACGAGCACGTACTCGATGGAAACGATTTTGAAGAAAGTGACCATTAGCGACCACCGGCAGACCATACGGACGGGCCACTCTGTCCACGTCAGGCACGCGATCAGAGAGTAGTTTGGGGCGCGTTAGGTCAATTTCCGATACCCGGCACTCGTAAAAATCGAAGGTATGGGAAATGAATTTGGCCGAGTTCTATGAAAAGTGTCAGAGTGGTATCTATCTCTTTCACAGACTTAAAAAGTGATGCTTCACATTGGAAAATATCCATCATTGACTACATACGTTTCACGGTAGTTCAATTTTCGATTCGACTATTCTTTGGATGAAATATATATATATATATATATATATATATATATATATATATA